TTACAGACACAGTGCAAGCCCAACCAAAGCATTTGTCTTGATAATGCTTTGAGTGAGCAAGAGAAAAAGATGAAGAGGTCAAGTTTGTTTTTAATGAAAAGAAACAAAAAAATAAGGACAAGTCAACTAAAAAGGAGAATTCAAAATTAAGATAGGACTTGATACTGTGAGCTGGCTAAATCTTTCCAAAGGTCTCAGAAAATCCAGGGCCTCAGTCTGGAAAGAAACTGCTTACTGAGGCAGAACTGAGCAAGTGGAGACATATGGAATACATTTTTGAGCAAGGGCCCCAAGTCAAATAATATAAACGAGCTCAAGAAACAGCAGTACATTTTAACAAAGGAAGCTGAGATCACAAGATGCAGGGATAAAACTAATAAGAGGAACTGAGATAACCAGATAAAAGGAACTCTTGGGTCAAACCGTCTATTTGTGCCTAGGTATTTCTTTTTTATCATGGCTTACCATAGTTTGAAGTGTCTTCAAATGTATAAACGAGTCCCTTGGGCCTTAGCAAGCTCTTGGTGTTACCTGAAGCTTCTGATTATGATTAGGACTGTTGCATTCATCTAGCCTGGCTCTCCCAACGTGCTGCAAAATGGTCCCTGCCACCAAGTGGCAAATAGAGCGTGACCATATGCAGCCATGTCTCCTGGTACCTCATTTAGGACGCCAGGCAGCCAGGCAGGCCTGTGGCCAAGCAGGATAGGTACGCGGAAGGCTCTTACAACTCTGGCTATGGTCACAATATATAAAGGAAAGGAACGATTTCAGGATCACCACCTATCCTCCAAGCCATTACATTCCCAGCCCTCTGCCCAATTCCATTTTTGTTACATAAACAAGAGGCAGTGGTTGCCAATGTTTGCCCTCAAGTTGTTAGTCAGCTGCTGACCTCATAATCTGCACAGCTGCAGCCTCCCAATATGTTGTCATGAAACAGATTGTGATGTCTTAATTGATCACTTTCAGAGGTTACAATTGTCAAGTGAAACCAGGATGCTGATTCTTATTAGCTAAATTAAGGCTTGTTACAGAACGACCAGCTAATTCACTCAACGACTAGGAGATCTGATGCGAGTCTGTAGATTAGAACACATCTGAGGCTCTTTCTATCTTTTCTCTTTCTGGTTTTGTTGTTTTTTTTTTTAATTTGTGGAGGCCATACCCAAAAACGCTTTTATTATGCAGTCAAGCAACTTCTTGGAACAGAAAATGGAATGTAACCTCCCTGCGCCATATGCATCTCGGTGATAAGTTGGAGTGTGCCATATGACACGCACAGTTTAAATCAGGCATTGATTTGCATGACTGTAAGTGGGTTTGGAGGACTCAGCTAAGTGTAATGTATGTTAGGCCCTGCTGCAAATCGTTTGGCAGGAAGAATATTGTGTTCTTCCTCATTGCCCTGAAAAACTGTGACTCCTAGATGCATGAAGGTCTTAGATCACAGTCCCATCCCAAGAGGCATTCTCTTATGCCCCCATCTGACCATCAGTGAGGTCTTCACTATGGTACCACCCACAGAACCTCATTTCCAGTGCCCTAATAAACTCACCCACCTCAAGCAGAACTATTCTAACCTGCTGTTCAGAAATCTTATTGTAGCAGGGGTGATGGACAGTCCCTTTGATAGCCAAGTTTTAAGACACTTCATAAATGGCGAGACCCCAGCGGCATGTCCAGTCCATGCCTGAGCCTATGTTGTTTCATGTCCAGCCCTGTTCAAACCCTACATGATTCTAACAGTTCAGTGAATCTCTTTATACAGGAAAAAAGAAACTTCATAAGCAGAACTTTGTGGATGTAACCAGTCAAGTTTTTTCAAAATCCTTCATTTTGACATGAAACAAATGGAAACATTTGTCCATCTAGCGTATTTCACAGGTGAACAATAAAAACTAAAAGAAGTAAAGTTAAATTAACCGAATAACTGCTAACATCCAAAGTGGGAAACACAAGATGTTCATCAAAGCAATTATACAAAGGAAAAAAATCAGATAATACCCAAATGCCCAACAGTAGGCAATAGGTACATTATGGTATGTCCACATAAGAGAATATTGTATCAGCATTAAAAATATCTCTAAGGAGGGGTGCCTGGGTGTCTCAGTTGGTTAGGCCTCCCACTCTTGGTTTCAGCTCGGGTCATGATCTCATGGGTCCTAGGATTGAGCCTCGCCTTGGTGCTCCGCGCTCAGTGGGAGTCTGCTTAAAGATTTTCTCCCTCTGTCCCTAGCCCCCAAAACAAATAAATCTTTAAAAAAATACATCTCTAATGACTATTTACTGGCATGGGAGAGTTTAATGATGGGAAATTTGTTGAAAAACCATGGTTGCCAAATTTTATAAATACTATTTTTCAACCTGTCTAATATATCTAAGAGGAGGAGAGTAACATGAAAGATTGTAGCAGTTGTCAAGTGGTGGAAATATGGAGAGTTTTTATTCTTTTTTTTTTTTTTCCAAGTTTCTACAGTGAGCCCATATTACTTCAATAATCAGGGGAAAAACGTGTTTTAAAGGAGTTTGAGTAGTTCTGTTATAACATTAGCTGCGGGGAGTCTGTGTTCAAAGCATCTCTAATCTAACAGGTCTAGAAATGAGCTCATTCTCCTCAGCTGATCCTGCTCCTCCTAAAGCCTTTGCCTGCTCATTTAAAGCCAGCTCTAGTCTTCTAGTTGTTTAGGCTAAAAACTGAAGTTATCCTGGATTCTTCCCTATCTCTCAGATTCCACATTTCTTCTTACTGGTCAACCCAATAGGCTTTACCTTCAGAATATGTTCAGCGTGTGGCCAGCATCTTGCTACTTCTTCTGCTACCCTACCTAGTCCAGGCCACTATCATCTCTTGCCATGATTGTGACAGTAGTCTATTCTCTGAGTTTCTACCGTTTTCCTCTTTGTCGTTTTTAACACTGCAGCTAGTGCTTTTAAAATATAATGCAGATCAGCCCCTCCCCTATTCAAAGCCTTCCAAATGCTCCTGAGTAAAAGTGCCTACGTGGTATCTCCCGGGTCATCTCTCTGATCCCAGTACCCTCTGACTCTCCTGAATGCCCTGCCAGGCCACATTGCTCTCCTTGTGTTCCTCTCCTACCATGGGGTGTTTGTGGTGGCTTTGGTTTCACTTTGCAGGAATACTCCCCACTCTCACCCTCGCGCGCACACACATACACACAAATCCCCATAGCTAGCCCTCTTATTTTCTTTGTTTTTCCTCAAATACCATTGTCTACCCAACCCCAGGCAGACCTTTTCTGATCATTCCACTAACACACACACAACACACTACACACACACACATGCATCCTAACCCCCCTTTCTTACTTTAATTTCCTCTATTTAGCACCTGTCTTCACCTAACATATACTATGCTGATTTATTAATTGCCTTTCTCCTTCCAGTGGAGGAGAAGTTGTATGTAAGCTCTATGAGGTCAGGGGTTTTGGTTAAAATTTTCACAGCTGAATCATCCCCAACCTCTAGAACATGGCATATCATAGTTGCTCAATAACTACTTTGGATTCCTACCATTGATAGGAAAGACATCTTGTGACGGTTGTGTGGTAATTTTACTGATGACTTTTCTGAGGTGCTTGCTCTCTCAATTTACCTACCTAGACTGAACCTGTTTGTGTATTGATAGGTTTCTTCTGGATTGTGTTTCTCTTTCGCCTAAATCAACAATTCTCAATGAATTTGGAAAAGTCCCTTTCTTCCCTGAGTTCAGTGTTCAGTTTCCTAGTAAATTAGTCTGATTCAGTTGTTCTCACTGCCTAATTTAACCACTATACTGGGTCCTATAGTCATCCCAGGACTTCTCAGGAGTGGGATTAAAATGAAAAAGACAGACCCTAACAGAGTTTACTGTACAGTGGACAGACATAATTAAACAATAAAATACAACATAACTAATAAGGGCAGTACTCAGTGTGAGAAGAACTAGACCAATAGGCACAATAAAAACACAGAATCAAAATGTTAAATACAAAATGTGGAATCTCATAATAGGAAGATGAGAAAGACGTATATTAACAGAGTGCATTGCTCCTTTAACACTGTTTTAAAAGATAGACTGACTTTTCCTCACGTAGGAGGAAAGTGGCAGAAGGAATTTATTTGGTTTGCCGGGGAGGAAGGAATGTAGGGAATGATGGAAAGAGCAATGGGTTTAGAGCTAGAAGATCTAGATTTGAATCTGCCACTACAACTTGAATCTATCATCTGCAAGTTCTGGAAGCTGGTGCTTTACCCTCTATGAGTCTCTGTTACCTCATTGGTTTAAAACAAGGAGGGTGGTGGTTAGACCAGCACTAGAGATTATTATCTCTGTACAACCCTTCCCCAAGTTTTTAAAAGAAGCCTTTCATTATCCATCTAAAATAAATATGAACACAAAGGCCAGTTAACATGGTGATACAGGGAAATTTTTAAGGGTTTTAAATAAAATGTTTGCCCACCTGAGACTTGTCTTCAATAGTTGTTGGTTCTGAACATCTTTTTCAGAACCTTGTCATTTGCTGAATTTTTCATATTTTCATCAACTGCTACATAACTCTTCATACATACAAATAAAATACAGAATTGAGGCCTAGATATATTCCCTTTGCATTTTTTTTTTTAGCCACTGTCTTTATTAAAGAGATCAAATCTTCTCCTATTGCCTTATTTCATTTGAAATTACGGTTTTGAAATGAAAAGTCATTATTTAGCATGGAAAACAAATGACTGTTTTTCCATTTAATTTTAAACAGACACAAGGGGATAGAAATTAAAATTATTTCTTAGCTGTCTGTATTCACTTTTTAAATGGAAGCATGTCCCTCCCTTGATAACCTGTGGTAGCTGCTATAGGATTGGTCCAAATATTTCAGAAAATCCCACACTCGGGGACTATACACAACATCTGAATTTCATTTTCTCAGAGGAACTTATTTGGATGGCTGGAACTTACTAATTTACATGTCTCTCCCCTGTCTCATTTCTCTGTTTTTCAGCCTTTGCAACTGGACTGTGACCTTTGCGCCATAGTGTCAAACTCAGGTCAGATGGTTGGCCAGAAGGTGGGGAATGAGATAGATCAGTCATCCTGCATTTGGAGAATGAACAACGCCCCCACCAAGGGCTATGAAGAAGATGTGGGCCGCATGACAATGATTCGGGTTGTGTCCCATACCAGCGTTCCTCTTTTGCTAAAAAACCCTGATTATTTTTTCAAGGAAGCAAATGCTACTATTTATGTTATTTGGGGCCCTTTCCGCAATATGAGGAAAGACGGCAATGGCATCGTTTACAACATGCTGAAAAAGACTGTTGACATCTACCCAAATGCCCAAATTTACGTGACCACTGAGAAGCGCATGAGTTACTGCGATGGCATTTTTAAGAAGGAGACTGGGAAAGACAGGTGAGTCCTCTGAGAGGCAGCCTCATGGTCCTTTATGCTAGCCCCTTGCTGAGTTCTTTTGCCAGCTATCAAATGAACAGAATTATTTTTCAAATTGATTGTTATATGTTTTTTGACTATTACGATTACTCGATGAGCCAGCAACTAGGCCGCATTTATTCCACCTACACTACCTTCTGTTCTCTCCATTTTGATTGGCTTGAGGATCCAAAAAATACTGGATGCTTCCCCCAGATATCTTTAGATTTGTTCTTATTTAGCTCAGTTTTCTATCGGTTAAATTGGATGTTAACCGAGAGGAAGTATACACATTTCTGTTTCAAAACAGAAATGTTAAGGAACTTTAGGACCTAAACTCCTTTGGAAGTTGTGATAAAAATTTACCTGAGACAACAAAACACAGCAGGCTGTTTATTCTCTAATAAGGTTGCGTCGCTTCTTGCATGCAGATAGACCGTATGATCGTGAGCACCATACCTGATATCTAGCAGATATGTTGGTACGTTCAGCAGAATACCATATTGAAATGAGGCATTACTGAAAGTCATTAACAGTGATTTCTTGAAGAGAAATGAGGAATAAATACCATTCACTCGATTATCCCACAAACCAGTTTGCATTTTTCATTACATCTGTTTTTACTTTTTTTTTTCCTGTAGTCTTCTGTAAACCACCTTCCCATTTCCTTTTCTTGAGGCCTGCTCACCTTATTTTTCTCCTACTCCTTACATCTCCTGTTTTCTCTCTCTGCTCCCTCTAACCAACCCCCCCTCATTCTCCCATCTGACTTCACTGGCTACCATTTTTTCTTTGTTTTTAGAAAGATAACCAGTATATGGAAGAGAAGTAGAATTATTAGTTTGTATTTCTAGTTCTAATAAATAATTGTTGAAGGAAAATATTGAAGCCAATTGCTAAAGTTTTAGGTTGTGTGTGAATTGTACTTATTCATGTCATACCATGGATAAATTGAGCATTGGCTGTAATTCCAGTATTAACAATCTGATTTCTATAAAATGTATGTCTTTCACTCTTCAATATTATCAAATCTGAATTTTTAACTACATTAGGGTATGTGCTTGTGGGGGGAAGTTTCTGATATCTCTGGGTATAATTTGTATGCTGTTAATTATTTTAAAATCTTATCTGTCCTGATTCTCCTGTTGGTAATGTAGGCTGAACGTAGCATTTTCTACTTCTGAGCACCTAAAATGCACAGCTTCTAATGTAATGCAAGACAGGAATTGCTGTAATGCTGGTCTTTTCCACTGTTAGAGTTCACAAGAAGAATCCCAGTGGTTAGATTTGAATCAGTGTAGCAGAAGCTGTCCAAAGAAATAGGCACGAGAGATAAAGGAGTGGGTATGTAGCACAATTCTATATAAATATTTTGACCATCTCAAGGGGTTTGGAAATTTCTGGTCTCTCATTAGCCCAAAGCAATGCAATTAATTAGATATATTTGGTATTTCATTAGTCATCGTCAGCCTTCAGGGTATCCCCCAGTCATAACTATATGCCCTAGAATCATTTGAGGCATCAGAGAAGAGCTCAGCATGTCGTATGGTTCTATGTATTTATATCATGTTGGCTTTTGCTGTGAGCTTTCAGGGAGACAGTACAGTGTCACAGATGTGTGGATTGTATAGCAAGAATTGGGAGAGAATAGCTTTGGAAGACTCAATTTTCCTACTGGTTGTGATGAGGAAAGCTGTTTGTATAATGGGAAAAATCTTGCTTGATAAAATTAATTTGCAGATACCATTCAATTGGTAAGGTTACCAAAATAAAAAGGGGGGAGGCAAATTGATTTTTTTAATGCTTCCTTCTGTTTTCCTCACTGTGTCTATTCATGTCTGGTTGCAACATGGAGTATTGCAACCAAATTGATAAAGACAACTGTGCTAGTGTTTTAGAAATTAACAGAATGGATGGTTTTGGTGAAATCTGGTTGGATGACAAAAGGTTGACCAAATGGCCTCAATGACCTGTTATCAGCTCTGTGATTTAAATCTGTATCCTAACTTTAGCAATATGAATTTTATTGTTTAAGTATTTCCCATAGTGATCTGTTGTTCTTGGCCAAACTTTATTTCAGAATGTTTCTTAACTTTTTATGAAGGAAAATGTCAAACTTATAAACTAGAGAGACTAATGGTGTAATGAACCTCTGTATATTCACTACTCAAGTCGAATAATTATTAACTCATGGCCAATATTGTTTCATCTATATCCCTACACTTTCTTTCTTTCTTGAAGCAAGTGACAGACATCATATTATTTCATTCATTAACATTTCAGCATGTATCTGTAGAAGATAAAGAAATACAATGTCATTGTCCTACATAAAGACCAGCAATATTTCTTTAATAACATTATATAGTTTTTCAAATTTCTCCAGTAATCTTATTAATATTTTTAAAATTTAACTTGAATTAGGATTAGCGTTAAGATACATACATTGCTCAAATCAGGATTAGCCTAAGGTCTGTACGTTACAATTAATTAACATGTCTTCTGTATTTCTCTGAACCTATATCATTCTCCTGCTGTCTATTATTGAAAAAAAAAACAGTCATTTGTCCAATAAAGTATTCTACAATCTGATTTTTGCTACTTGTCCCCCCATGATGTTTTTTTGTTCATTGGTATTTCTATATTGAGCCTTTCTTTATTAGATTCAGGTCATATTGCTTCTTACTGAGACCAATAGGTGGTACTTCTATTAGCAGGAATACGGTCTAGTTTTCTCTTTTTATGTTGGCAGTCATTAATGATCATTGTCTAAATCCAATAATTCATTAGATGTTGCAAAATGGTGATATTTCATCATTTTTTTCACTTATATTTGTTGAAGCTTTATAAAGAGAAACTTGTCCTCATTAGCCATTTTTTTAAACAGAGATAGAAGATAGTACCAATCCTTTTTCTTTACAGGTTCTAAGGCATCAGTCCCATGATATCTGCAAAAGTGACCAGTAAGTTCATTATTATTAATATTTACATATTAACATATTTAGTCCATGAGACTTATGTCTCTATGCTCAAAGTGTCCTATTTTGTGCTAGTGGACTCTCTTCAAATTGGTTTTGGAGTCCTCCTATAAGCTGCTAGTAATTTTGGATAGCTTCTTTGATTCTTGGTATTATAGGATGATTCAGCTCTTCTTGTATGTATTGTGATGCAAACCTGGATCCAGACATTTCTCCAAAGAATTTTGGTCCTTTTAGTATTTAAGAGAGCATAATCTTGGGCTCATTGCTACGAAGCTTGTTTTTGTTTCTTGGTGATTTCATTGGACATAGCTAACATAGAAACAATATATGCTGTATGTATTGTTTAAAGATAAAATCATTATGCCTTCAAACTAAAATTTCCAATTCAGATTCAGGGCTACCGGGAACATTTTAATTTTACCTCATGTATCTTATGTGTGTTTCTCCTTTTGCCATATTGGAAATCACAGGTCCTAGAGACACCAAAGTAATTCCTCATCTATTTTATCCCAAAGCCTACACACAACAATCCTAGAGCAAGAACGCACCACATTATTACTGTCAGCATTTTAAGACTGTTTTATGCCAAAGAAGATGTTTTAATGGCAAGCATTTTTGTGGGTCCATGCTCACAAAGTGTGTATTGGATTTATCATAACAAAAGTTTTAAATATTTTTCTCCAGGGGCACCTGGGTGGCTCAATTTGTTAAACGACTGACTCTTCATTTCACTTCAGGTCATGATCTCAGGGTCATGAGATCTCCAAGTGGGGCTCTGTGCTCAGTGAGGATTCTGCTTTGGATTCTCTCTCTCCTTCTCCTGATTCTCTTTGCCTCTCCCCCTGCACATGTGCTCTCTTTCAAATAAATAAATATGTCTTAAAGTAAATACATACATACACACACATAACACATTTTTTTTTTCTCCTAACTAAATAAGAGTATGTGTAGTGTATATACCATTGCTGACATGAGGGAGTAAGGAAAAATGGACGTCCATTTAACTTGACTTTTGTTGTGAAGCTACTTTGGTTGAATTTCCTGAACTTACTAGAAATTTTTAGTAAGTGTTCATTTTCATCATTAGGTTTTTAATAGAGAGGTTATGTCACCATTATGATGTATAATTTATAGAATTAAAAAAAAATATGTCCCTAGTAGTTAAAATGAATCATGATAGGAAAATGACTACATGGAATTTCTCAAAGAAAAAATTGGCTCTCAGCTTGTGTCTTCAAACTGTTAAAATCCTTTTAAAGAAGTATAAATCCTTTCCCCATTTAAGGTGTGCACCTTTTCGTTGTTTCCAGTGCTTTTTGTTTTTGTCTTAAGATATTCTTCACTGAGGAAACACAAAGCAGTAGAAGAAATATATGTAGTGTTAAATTTCCTAGAATGAGTTTAGATCAATTCATAAACATATTGGAACGCTTTTTCAAACCAAATGAAATTTAATTGGCTTTTTTATCAGCTACCAACTAAAATTATTTGGCTTGTCAGTTAGAAATAGTGACCTTGTGGGAAAGGCTGAGAGAACAGAAAGAGAAGGCATCTTGTCCTTTCTCTCTTCATCCTCTGGGGCCTGGTTTTCTCCAGAATTCTAGGTTGTTGAGGCGGCGGTCACCTTTATAGTTTCACTTAACCAAATATTTTTTCTGGAAAACAATCTTCAACAAGCCAGAAACCTTTGGAATTAAAGGTCTTATACTCAAAAGAATCTGACCAAAATAGATCTTTTTCCCCCTTTGAATGATTGGTATGCATAAATAATATGAGCCTGCTGACATTTACACATTTACATTAATACATCTTAAGACTGAAATACCCTAGAGGTGATGGAGGGCTGAGAGTGGCACGTGGCGCCACACTCAACATCTGAGGAATGTGATTAGGTGCCTGGCCATGTACCAACGCAAAAGGAATGTGAACAGCGCTCCTAGAGAAGCAACGGGGACCCCGTGTGAGACATTCTTCTCACCTATAGGCAGGTGGGCAGTGGCAGCT